TAGTTCCTTCATAGCCACCCTCCCCATTCTTAGTCTTCTTCTGATTTCCTGACTGCAGTCCCTATTTCTAACAATGTTTGATTCCAGGTATGGGAATTCTTTTACTATTTCTGTTTCTTCATTGTCTAGGCTGAACTTGTGAAGGTTCACTGCATTGTGAAGGCTGAACTTGTGAAGGTTCATTGTGAAAGAAAATTTTTCTCCCAAGTGTTAATGTCCATTCCTTTTTCTTTTCTTTTACAAATGAGAACAAAAAGCTTGAATTGTATAAACATGTCCAAATTGACTAAAGGTTGCTTGTAGGCATGGCTAGGATTGGCAGGACCAGCCAAATGCTTTGATGATTACAATAGTTCTACTATTGCTGCAAACAGCAACCCAAACTTTTGGGTTGGTTTTGTATGCTATTTTTAAAATCCCCTCCAAGGAAGTGATAAGTGCCCTTATTACAAGGCCACATTTGAATACTTCAGCACATTTTCAGAGTGGTGCATAAAAGGCTAGTCAGGCAAATGTACAATACCACTTTCTTGACATTTTTGTTTGTTTGTTTGAGGGCAGATGCAGCACCACTATTTAATAGGACATAGTGGAGTTTTAGGATCTAATGAGTGAGTTACATGTGCTTCTAGTACAGGAAAAGACTGAGGAATCAGCCACCAAGGGATGCCCCATTTATTGCTTGAAGAAATGCAGAACTTTGGTTAGAGCAATGGCAAAACATAAGAAGCTATGCTCAAGGAATTCTGAGTGCTAATGGGGCCCTTGAATTTCACCTACAGGATGGTAATGCCCAGAAGAACCTTAGGCACACGTTTACATGAGGGTGTAACCACCCAGTACCACCTTATCAGGATGAGAAAAAAATTCAAAGAGTATCTTAGAATACAGGCATATTTTTGCAAACTTTCTGGAGGAAATCACAGGGACTAGGTGTCAGAATTAATCAGCTCTGTTCCAAGGATTCAGACAATAGCCTTGGTGAAAGAACAAAAAGACTTTATTGCAGACCAAGAACAGTAGTGATCAGCCAGAGTTCAGGTTGATACTGCCCTTCTCTGCCTTCTTGTCCCTATATATAGACTGGAGTTACCTAGTCCTGACTGTCTGTAATGTAACAATTTGACTTCTGCCTGATAACTGCAATGTAACCTTTTCATTTCTGCTCGGTGACTTCTATGTAACTGCTTGATTTCTGCCTGGTGACTGCACTACAACCTTTTGTTTTTCTGCCTAGTAACTGTGACCTCTTCATTTTTCCTTGGCAACTGTGGTAAAACTCTTCCCAACTGTTCTTTGAAGGCACCAAAATTTAAACTCATCTAATACAGATAACACATTCTATATGTTTATATACATACAACACAAACCAATACAGGATTTATATACACATTTCCCAACTTCATTTGTAATGGCAAAACCAAAAACTTTTTGGGTTCTGACACTAGGGGCCTCTTAGCTTGATAATGACATGTATCATCTCTACTCCCTTGTTTGTAAGTGGATACCACTTACAAAAGTATACATCTACACTAGCTGTAAATCCATAATGAAATTAAGTTCCCTGTGTTGTTTGCATCTGTGAACAATTTTGATCAGTTTGACACTAATCCTTTCATGTTATTTTTAAGTCTTTTTGGACATAAGATGCCCTCTCCAGATGCCTTGTTAGGTTTAAGTATTTTGTTCAATATTCAACATCCTCTGAAGTTACTATGAGCCAAAGCTGTTCTTGTTCATGCACTGTTTGTTTTGGTAAATTATTTGAAGTCCATTTTCTGATAATATTTTCAAAATAAGCTACTCCAGTAATAGGAGGCATTTCTGGTTCTTTCTGGAGGGAGAAAATTGTAGAGGACAGAGAGACCAGGTTTTGTTTTTTTTAGCTTCCAGACATAACTAACCAACAACTGGCTGAAAACATAACATAAGTTATTTCCAGTTTCCATTTTTGAGTGATTTTTGTCAGGTGGGGAAGTCGACACTATCCACCACATTTGGCCAAATTTTAGATAACTTTTGTCAGTCTAATCTTAGGGCTAGGGGGAGTCTGGCAGAGTCCTGGTGGCACAAAGAGCCCCAAGGGTCTGCATACAGCCTTTCACCCACAATTTGCCAATACTTACTCCACTTCTTATTCTCCTCAGAGCTGCCCAGAACTTTTGTTCATCATGTTCCACCAGACTTGACTCAGTTCCTTCCCATTATTAATAAAATATTCTCATTTTTCCGTCCCGAGTAGGCATTTATATTCATTTCACAATCAGGTTAACCTTTCTGTTCTTCCTTTTTTGGGATTGCTTTCTGAAATTTATCATCTCTTTTTGCATTTTCCTTCAGTTCTCATCATTTTCCTTCAGTTCTCATCATCACCCATATATATATATTATTTGGAGCTTTCTCCAAAACTTGGCTTCAGATCTCAGCTCAAGAGCATGGAAGTGTTTGAATAGTCTGTTACATAATGCATCACCCAGAATCCCCCAAATTATTTATGCAGTAGCACAACATCTTTGTGTGGAAATGTCAACATTCAGGCACTGCAGTGGGCTTAGTTGCCAATCCTGTGAAATCTCTTGTTTCTTTGTACTAGTTAATTGAATACAAATAACTAACTAACTGGGGGGGAATCAATGTGAATGTGGCCAATGAACCCCACTTTGGGAGCCTCCAAGCCCTTACCAACACCACAAAAGCCCACCACTCCCCTGAAACATTTTAATTTTTTGGCATACTTTTCAGAAAAAGGTCAATCAAAAATTATCACTAGAGCCCCTCAATATCTAATCTCCCCATACCACCTTACAACCCTATCTTCTCTCAAATATGTTTGGTTTCACTTCAAAGAGATAACACTTGTCATTGTGAAAAAGAAACCAAGGGGAAAGAAAGTATTTTGGTGTGCTTGGCAAAGTGTGGTTTGAGGGTGGGTTTGGGATTAGGATATTGACCCAGTCCTCACACAGTTTTCCATCCCTGAACTCGAACCTCCACTGCAAAACAGTAGCCCTCACCAGAACCTGTGGTAGTGAATTCCATCAGTAGTTTTACATGATCTAGAAAAGTGTTTTCTTCCACTTGTCCTGACTTTACTGCCAGTTCTTTCCAAAAGTTGATACTGTTATTGGTAAGCGGGGTGGGGGGGTATCAAAATGTAGTTTTTTGATATTGTTGTGTGCCTTCAAATTATTTCCAATTTATGGCGACCTTAAGGTAACCCTATCATGAGGTTCCCTTGGCAAGATTTGTTCAGAGGGGATTTGTCATTGCCATTGCCATCCTCTGAGGCTGAGAGAGTGTGACTTGTCCAAGATCACCCAGGGGATTTACATGGCCAAGCCGGGGTTTGAACCCTGGTCCCCAGAGTCATACTCAAACCACACCACACTGGCCAGTCATAATTTTTATAACCTTATTTTATGGTGCTGTTCTTTAGTAGTCTTTTCTCTAGGTTTTTTTTTTAAAGCTGCACTTGGTTTTAGCCTTTTCTGGCAAGAAAGCTGACCTCTCCTTCTGATCATTTGGGCTGGTCCAAATATTTTTTGCTCAGGATTGATGTCTGTTTTGGTCTTTCTAAGCCGTTCCTACTAACAGCAAAGAAAGGCTGTTCCAAGGTTGGTATCACAGTAATACGGTTCTGTGTAAAACTTGTACACGGCTTCCTTAACCCCCACAACCCCTATTACACCTCAAATCACCTGTGCTTGGGGCATTTTTCTGCAGCCTAATTCTCAGGATTATACCACGGTGCCTCATTTCTAGACGTTTCCTACTAATGCCTTTTGCATTTGTAGCTCGTACCGGGAAATCTAGTACCAAAAGGTTAATGTATATCCATTAGCTCAGTTAAATGTGCTACTAGGAGACAACTGATTTCTGTAAATTCATTACACCGCAGACAGCACACAAGATACTTTAAATCCTCTTTCTGAAATCTGAGAGGCTATTAACACCATCTTGCCTGGAAACAAGTAAAACAGTTGATTTTTCAGATACTGGAGTAATATATTTTTAAGCCTCTGTAGAACCAAAGCAAAGCAAAACAAAACAAAACACTCCAAATGCATTAACATTGGCCACACTTAATGGCCTGCTTTCACCTTCTCCTTTCTGCTTGCCCTTTACACCATAGACCTTGCATTGCTCTCTAACAGACAAATAGTTAACACATCTCTAAAGTCCACACTGGCCACAATGGCAGGGGCAGCCATACTGGAGTGTTTCTGCATGTGTTTGTTGTTCATATTGTTGGATGGAGTAACTTTATTATGATCTGAAAAGGAGGGGAGCTGAATCCTCTTCCTAACTCTATCCCTCTTGTTCCAAACACTTTTCTCTCAACTAATGTCTGATACCCCAGAGAGACAATATCAGCGGATGTTAAGACAGTGCTACATAGGGATGTAATTCTTCCGTAATCTATTTCTTGAAAGAAGCAGTGAATAATTTTTGCAATTTCCTTCATGATGCATTTTTCTCTGTGCTGCAGTTTGGTACTTATTCCACATTAACATGGGATTTTGTCACACAACATTCTCAATTTGTGGGATTTTGTCACACAACATTCTCAATTGAAATACTATTTTCTGCACAGAAAAAGGCTCTCCTTTGTACAAAAATAAGATGTGTGAATTTTGTACACAATAAGTCCCAAGCTGTGAAGAGTCACATCAGTCCAGGGGTCTCCTCATCAGGGTTTGCTGACATTCAGAAACACATTTTTCAACCATATTTTG